TGAAAGTTTTACCTAAGTGTCTTCGTCGTCGTCGTCGTCGTCGTCGTCGTTTCCCTTTCGTTTCTCGAGTTAGCCGGGTGTTTAGTTGTTGCGAACGTTCCGTCGGCAGGGTTCGTTGTTGTTTGACAAAATTATGTCACCGGAATAATTAATGCATCGTTTGCACAGCTGCGCATGGACCTTGAACTTATTTATGCTAATATGTAACGATTTATACAAGAGGTAGGCCGATAACGTTCCCATACGCAGGCTAATAGGCAATTACAATTGGTTGCTCGACGATTACGGAGCGGGGAAGTAGGTCAGTCTTACTACGCTTTTGAGCGAGATCGTTATCAAATAACGCACATAACCATTACTACTACTTTATGATGTGCCATAAATTGATCGCCTTTAGTTCGCACTTCGAGAACGTTCGATTGTGCGTGAGAGTCGGTGAAATATTTCGCCGATGCCGTTTTCGTCGAACCGTGCCATTCTTTTTTGCGTTGCTTCCGCGGAACTGCAATGGATGCAACTGAACGATCGAAAATGTCTTAATGTGGCAATTGCGTTGCGATGTATATACGGCGAACACTGTGTACAAATAAGTTTACACTAAACCTACCATGCAGTAATACTAACTGGCATGTACTGCTTCACGAAAGTGAAAAGACCGAATTTATTTGGAATTTGTAAAGATTTATTATAAAACTTGCTCCAATAATATAACTTTATATAATATTTATGTGTGTATATACATATATATAAATTTTATTATAGAACTTGCTCCAATATAGTATAACTTTATATAATATATATAATTATATATTTTTTATATAATTTTTATTATATATAATATATAACTTTATATATATAATAATATAACTTTAACTATATAATATAACTGTAGACCTTCGAAAAAATGAAAATTGAAATATCCCTTACAGGTTCTCGTTAAACCGACGTTAATCCGACGTTAATCTTTTATGTGTAAAATTACGTCGGCTACCCGCGATTAAGTAAAATATAGCTTGTGTTTGTTTGCACAAACGAGCGTCAAATAAGTCGTAGTTTTGGCATAACGAAACAAGCTAACCTTAAGATTAAATACAATTTTGGAGGGATTGACGCATTCATTTGTTCGGCGAAATTTTTTCGTAAACGTATAAACCCGCAATACCAAAAATTCTTGTTGCTAATGTACTTCTGCTATTTTTGCATGCACCAAAGGTTAACATATTCTGCTTCAGGCCGGTTAGAACCGCGATATATGATACCCCGGTAATTTGAATTCTCACTCGATTTGCATTAATTTTCAGCAGTTTCAAATCCGGTTGAAAATACAGTAAATTCTCCGTAATTGACCCACGGATTGTGCACGAGAATGGACAGTTCGGGGAGAGCTGATACGATTGTTCGAGCCTCGCTGTTCGTTTTTATAGTTGTCCTCCCAAATTGTCCATTTCTGCTTATAACTTCAGGGACAATTGGGGAGAATTTACTGTACTGATAATTTCTATTAATTTGGAATGCCATAAACTCTATTTGTACTCTATTACGTTTATTTGCAAAGAAAAGAGCAATGCATAAAAATGTCTTGAACGGAATCGTCTTTGACATTTTTCTGAGTACAGTAAATTCTCTCTAATCGTCCCACAACTTGTAAACAGAAATGCATAATTTGGGAAGAGAAGATACGATTATTTAAGTCTCGCGGCACGTTTTTATAATTGTTAACAATCGGCGACTATGAAAAGTCGACTATAAAAATTTCGAGCCGCGGGACTCGAATAATCGTATCTGCTCTTCCCTAATTGTCCATTTTTGCTTACAAGTTGAAGAACAATTGGGTAGAATTCACTGCATTGTCCATTTTTAAACCTATGTAATTAATTCTTTTGTTCAAAATCTGTAGACTGTGGATTTTCAATCAAAATTCTGAGATACGTATCTTAGTTAGTTGTAGAATTAAATAAAAAATTCAAGGGTCACAATGACACGAAATTAATAATAAAAAATGTTCAGATTTACGTTATTAAACAGTCTCGGTAAAAAGCAATTCCAAGTAAAATAAATTTACATACCGATAAAACAAATTAGGGAGGCAAGTTAAAAAAATACCGATTTTCAGTTAATCCAACCTCTTCCCCAGGTTTCATCAATCACGAATTTAAAAGATACTGCTGAAAATATCGTAATTCGGTAAAACGGCGCAGGCGTACATAGACCGGTACGATCAATAAGAAATAAATGTTTTCGAGTGGTCACCAAGATCCCCTAATCTTAATGCGTGATTAGTTGAGCCACCTATATACAATGAGAATACAGTTTCGAAAGACTTAACGACTTTTGTTACAACTCTTAAATGATATTAGCCGAGCCTTTACAACTATTAAACCATGTACGAGAAAACAGCTTCCAGAAACACATAAGAAAACGATCGCTATCGTTTATATAGACTGGCGAAAAAGTCACAGCAAACCGTACTGGACACTTTAAACTTCATGTAACACGCACAAATCGCGATACGATCGGTTTTGTTATCTGTCTTCCTCGTTGCTAACTCATGCCGTGTATTTATCGTTATAAAGCTCACCGACGTGTAATAATGCCGAAGAAAATAGCAGGTAGATCGCGGATTTTTATAAATTTACAAGAATGAACAGAGAGACGAAACTCGAAACTCGTAAAAACGTTCGAAGAATCGTTACGGCAATCGTTACGCTATTTTCCAATTTATTATAATTATTGAAAGAGAAAAGACATTTTTATTTAACGTACGTATCTATTTAAGGTAACGTAATTATTAACTCGGATAAATTTGATCTCGCATCAAGATCCGCAGTTTAATAATTAATTACGGTTCACTGTAACGTGGAACTGTTGATATCTTAATTCTTTATTATAAAAATAGGTCGTGTATATTTAAATAGCTCTATCCAGTTGCAATCCAAGTACAACAAGGTTTGTTGCGTTGTATTTAAGAACAATCTCGTCCATTTGATTATCGACCGGATAATCGAGGTTCCAGTCCGCTATAAACTTGTGGTCGAAATAAACAATTATTAAAGAAATTTCGGTCGAACTTGGTCGCCTCCTTAAAAAATATACATCTACTCCTGTGGAATTCTTATGACAAGAAATTCGTAGAAGTTCCGTAGAAACAAGTTTATTACTAAAAAGCGTTCGATTCGAACAAACTCAGAGCTGTCAAGTGTCAACGTAAATATTACAAATAGCTAATTTCTTCAAAATACAGTAATTTCTCCCGGAAATACAAAATTTTTGGTTGCTGTGAATTTCCCTGCGCTAGTCCCACGCCTATGTAACTTATTACTATGTCGATTCTAAGGTCAAGGATGTGATGTTTTGTTTGGGTGTGAGATAAGAAAAATCACAGAGTTATAAGTCGTGGCATGTGGTCTATGAATTGGCTTCGAATCGTGGCATGTGTCCTCTAAATTGCCTTCGAATTATGGCATGTGGTCTCCGAATTGCCTTGGAATCGTATCTTGTGGCCTCTGAATTGCCTTCGAATTGTCTTCGAATCGTGTCATGTGGCCTCCAAATTGCCTTCGAATCGTGTCAGGTGGCCTCCGAATTGCCTTCGAATAATGATGGCACGTGGCCTCCAAATTGCCTTCGAATCGTGGCATGTGGCCTCCGAATTGCCTTCGAATTGTCTTCGAATCGTGTTACGTGGTCTCCGAATTGCCTTCGAATCGTGTCATGTGCCCTCCGAATTTCTTTCGAATCGTGTCATGTGGCCTCCGAATTTCCTTCGAATCGTGTCATGTGGCCTTCGAATTGTCTTCGAATCGTGTCATGTAGGCTCCGAATTGCCTTCGAATCGTATCTTATGGGCTCCGAATTGCCTTCGAATCGTGCTATGTGGTCTCCGAATTGCCTTCGAATCGCGTCATGTGGGCTTCGAATCACCTTCGAATCGTGGTAAAAAATTAAAAATAAAAAAGTTAAGTCCTATTCATGTCAAAACATAATAATGAGAGAGAACGTTTCTTAGTCATGTTGTTTTAAGTTACAACGATCCCGGCTTTAAACAAAATAAAATAACATTGACATTTTGAATCGTTGCTTCATTCGGCGCTGCTTCTATCGCGTGTAATGTAAAATGACTATACTCGCTCTGATCGTTATTTCTGAGGGACAGGTGAGATTACACGGCGATGTTTTCGATTAGGATACATAAGTTATAGGGAAATCAATTGATCACGTAAGGGTAATTGCATTCCGCCAACATACGTCGGATGAAGAAACACGCCTGAGTGTCGAGTGAATATTCATGATCCGGTCTTGATGACTTCCGTTTTCTTAGGGAAGCACGAGAGAAGGCGAGAGCTGCTATAGTTACGAAATGCAGCGTGATATGCCGACGGTTCCGTTCCGGGCGAGGTTATACCTCGCGTTGAGAATTAACAACACTTCTATTTATTGCATTTATTGCTGAATTGTTAATGGACCAAAATGCGACACGGCAAAAATGTTCAAAGAATTTCCGGATATCGTTGAGTTGCTTTTAACTCGCGAGAATAATTGAAAAAGAAAATAAATATTTATGTAATTAAAACTATTTTAATGTAAATAAAATAGTAATAATATAATAATGTACAAGTAATAATAATAATAATAATTAATAATAAAGTAGTAATAATATAATATTAAAACTAATTTACGTAAATAAATATTTATGTTAATTCGTAGATCGATTCGTCTATTACGTAGATCACAATTTGTATCTTTTTCATAAAAATGCGCGGTCTATTTGCGATAAACCTTTCGGTCATTTGGGTCCCAAATGCGGTAAACAAAATTGCAGCCGAATACGCAGTTAAAATGCTATAAAACTGAACGAACTAATAAAATCTACTAATCAAGCCGTTTAAGAAATCAAGCGAGTCGCGATGTTGACATCATCGGGCGTTCTAAGCTCAATTGCGAGCAATCTTAATTACGTATTATGCACTTGAGAGTCTTCTTCTGTTTACCACGCGTTAGTAGCGGCGCATTCCACTTGTCGAGCGTTTATTTGCCGCTGGTGTCTTTCACGCGAGTTTTAGTAATTACGATAGAATTCATTATTAACAGGGTAATTGCAACACCGCTTGATTTAATAGTGCCAATTAGTGAGTAATCGTTTCGTGATCGTAACAAAACTAGTTCGGTTAGATTCGATATTCGATACTTCTAGCATTCAATTACTCGCGCAATCCCCGACTATGATCACGGTTACGTTCATTTTCAATCGTTTATGTTTTAACGTAGCACAGTAAAAGAAAAAAATCCCTAATTGACGCTCAGTTTGTGCAGAAAAATGGACAATTTTGGGAAGGGGAGATACGATTATAGTTGTTGACAATCGGTAACTATAAAAACGAGTCGCGAGACTCGAATAATCATATCTTCTTTTCCCAAATTGTCCATTTTTGTGCGCAATCTAAGCGCGAATTAGGGAGAAATTACTTCAATAGAAATTTCCAGTACAGTAAATCCTCCCGAATTGTCCATCAGCTTATAAACAAAAATGGATAATTTGGGAAGAGGAGATACGATTATTCGGGCCTCGCTTTTATAGTTATTGACAATCGATAACTATAAAAACGAGCCGCAAGGTTCGAATAATCATATCTTTTCTTCACAAATTGTCCATTTTTGTGCGCAATCTAAGCGCAACTTAGGGAGAAATTACTGTAATAGAAATTTCCAGTACAGTAAATTCTCCCGAATTGTCCATCAACTTATAAACAAAAATGGACAATTTGGGAAAAGCAGATACGATTATTCGAGCCTCGCTTTTATAGTTGTTGACAATCGATAACTATAAAAACGAGTCGCGAGGCTCGAATAATCATTTCTTTTCTTCCCAAATTGTTCATTTTTGTGCGCAATCTAAGCGCAAATTAGGGAGAAATTACTGTAATAGAAATTTCAAGTACAGTAAATCCTCCCGAATTGTCCATCAGCTTATAAACAAAAATGGACGATTTGGGAAGAGGGGATACGATTATTCGGACCTCGTTTTTATAGTTGTTGACCATTCGTAACTATAAAAACGAGTCGCGAGGCTGAAATAATCGTATCTCCTCTTCCCAAATTATCCATTTTTGTGCGCAATCTCAGCGCGCGAATTAGGGAAAAATTACTATACTAGAAATTTCCAATGCACTAAATCCTCCTGAATTGTCCACCAGCTTATAAACAAAAATGGACAATTTGGGAAGAGGAGATACGATTATCCGAGCCTCGCTTTTATAGTTATTGACAATCGGTAACTATAAAAACGAGCTGCAAGGCTCGAATAATTAAAAATCCCCTCTTCCCTAATCGTCTATTTTTGTTTACAAGCTGAGCGTCAATTAGAGAGGATTTATAGCACTTTTTAGTCGTAACCTGGCAGCTCTCTTAAAATGACCGTAACTTGTCCAAGTTATAATTTATTGTTGCTGCGCTTGCAGAAATATACGAGCTCGTTCGAACGTGCTTTCAGAAGCATAATTTCTGTTGAATGGGTCTCTCATAATTAGATTAATAACCTTAGATCGCAAGCTTAGCTTTAAATGAAACTTGATGTTCCAATGGATAAGGGGGTTGTATGACCGTAAAGCTTTCGTGACTCGTGTAAAACGAAACGCAGGTTTTCGTGCACCCCTCTTTTCGAACGCTGATCTTCTGATTTTTCGGGTGGTCTTGTAATCGGCATAACAATCGGCATATTAGTATTAATAATGTGGGTTCGGCCAACGTTTTCCGAACTTTTCGCTTTCTGTAAATATTGCTGACGGATGTATGGTAAGCCAAATAGGAATCTGTAAATTTTTTGTTGCATCATCGTTCGAATAATTTTACAATCTCTATTCGAATAATTTATTCGAATAATTTTGTGACAAGCAATGGAGAGTTATTCTTCGAAAAATTCTTCGGATAATTGTCTTAGCTAAATATTTATTCGAAACAATTCGGACAACGCCCAACTCTGGTATATTAATTGGTATGAATATTATAAATTTCTATGTTGTAGATGTAGAATTAAATACAAATACATTATTCTAAATTTCTATGGTATAAATATAGAATTAAATATAAATACATTATTCTAAATTTCTATACTATAACACGAAACAATTTTCACGTTTCTAAAATTCTGATTCGACGAATTTGCTGGTATGGAATTGATAACGAGAACGTTTCAAGTCAATAATAATAATCGATAGATCATCGAGTTCGTTCGGATGCACGCATGTTAAACAGTGTCGTGGAACTGATGTAACCAGAATCGATACATTCGATAATTTCAGTTCTTTGTAATTCGGCAAAGATAATGATTCCTCGAATTTGTTTCGCAAATTGGACGAGATATTGGAGCATTTCGTGACCCCTATTATTTGTTTACAAATGCAAGCAGTCTTCCGTCGAAAAACACCGATGACATCACGCGATGAATCCCGAGGATTTTTATGCGATTGTTTATATTCATCTTTAATTCATTTTACGATGCGATAAATACTTACAGTGATCCATTAACCAGTCAGTTGCGGCGTCTCTTCTTCAGATCGCGCGCGAGAATCAAGCGACGACGAGTATACTCGTCGAACACAAAGTTTATTTTATAAAATTAACCATTTTATACTGCATAGATAATATACGAAAACATCAAACACATAATGACACTCTGCACGTCGAACATCAATATCGTGAATTATTCGTATAATTATTCATATTTTTCATTTGTTTGTTTTATTCCGGCCTGGCCTCGAAATATCCTAAACATCCTGAGATTTGAGAATACGTTTTTGTTTTCATTAAAATTACAATTTAAATATCCAATGCTCGCTACGTTTTACGCGCGACGAGTATACTCGTCGCGACACAAAATACTGCCGCTTCTCCGTGACGAGTTTACTCGTCGAATACAGCTAACCGGTTAATGCCTGCGATAGTGTGAACAATTTCGTCGTGTAATTCAAGCGAGAAGAAACAACGTTCGCATACGTTACTGCTTTTATATATGGGGCAATAGTTAAAATAATTGCCGCAAGCGCATTTCGGAAGAAGAGCCTTATCCTTGCATCACGTATAATAGATTATCATGTATAATGGACGCTTTAATGCAGTAATCATGTCATAAAGTGTAATTACAAAGTTGCTTATTTTCGCTGAGATAAAACCTCAGTTTCGTGTACAACGAAAGTTTTTTTTACTGTTCTTCGAGGAACATACTGTGGCGAACATGAAACATACAACCTGGTTCACGGCACATTTATTGCTTCCCGAGAGCTAGACTATGTTTCGTATCCTTCGTATTTTTTTTTCTGCGAAAATTCTTCGGCTGCAGAAATATTATTACCGCCATTTTATAAAGTCTCCGTGACACGAACAACTTTTGTCAACGGAATCGCTTAAGATCTTTGAAAATAACAGAGGTGCTCAAGTGTTCTGTTTTTCCGTGTGTCACCCTCTGTATAATATAATATATAATAATAATATAATATATAATAATACTATATAATGTATATAATAATAACAATAATAACAATAATAATAATAATAATAATAATAATATTATTATTATTATTATTAAGCCTTTGCACTCGACTGGTGACCCTGAGGCATCGCTAAAATCGTTATATCATGTTCTAAGATAATTTTTCTATGAACAAAGTTTAGATTTAAAAAATTATTATGTTATAAAAAAAGGTGATAAAAAACGTTATTAGAAAAAGATTGTTATAAAATGCACTTTGTCGTATAAAATGGAAATACTATAAGTCAGAGAAATTGTTTTAGATTTACAGTTAAAATGGCTTCGAGTGCAAAGGGTTAATATATCTTTACGGAATATTTACTAAACCCTTACGAATGCGCAAATCCTTGCATCGTTGAAACTAAAAATTAACCCAGGACGCTAAAATATTATCCCGAATACTTTTATTACGATCTGTACAAACATAATTCTACATGCTTTCAACAAATGACTAATTTTTGCTCCTTCTCGAATGCTCGACTTGCATAAAATATCATTGTTCACGCGTAAATTTGCGATTCACGTGAACATAATTAATATATAATAATAATAAGAACAACAACAATAACAATAACAACAATAATAATAACAATAACAATAATAATAATAACATATCTTTTGGGAATATTTACTAAACGCTTACAAATGCGTAAACCCTTGCATTGTTGAAACTAAAAATTAACCTAGGACGCTAAAATATTGTCCCAAATACTCATTACAATCTGTACAAACATAATTCTACACGCTTTCAACAAATGAAAATTCCTCCTTCTCGAATGCTCGATTCGCATAAAATATCATTACTCGCGCGTAAATTTGCGATTCACGTGAACATAATTAATCTATAATAATAATAATAATAATAATAACAACAACAACAATAATTAATAATAATAATGATAATAATAATATTAACATATCTTTAGGGAATATTTACTAAACACTTACGAATGCGTTTACCTTTCATCGTCCAAACTAAAAATTAACCCAGGACGCTAAAACATTGTCCCGAATACTCTTATTACAATCTGTACAAACATAATTCTACACGCTTCCAACAAACGACTAATTTTCGCTCCTTCTCGAATGCTCGACTCGCATAAAATCTCATTGCTCGCGGGTAAATTAGCGATTCACGCGAACATAATTCCGCGCGTAACACACTCGCCAACGACTAACGAACGCGCGATCGTGTTGCTATTCTCTCCTGAAACGGGTAAAGGTAAAAAATCCGGCTGCAACGGTTATATTTAAATAAAGCATTATCGTTGACACCTTAACAGTGACTTTCGCGTCCGCAACTCCGCGGAATAACCGGCTAACGAGCAATAAACGAGCTCGCGTTTCGTTGCCACGTACACGCGAGAACATATACGTTCGACGTTCCAAGCAAAATGTGCCCAGGATGCTTTGCCTCGGCAGGGGCGGCACGATGTGCTTGCTCTACTATATTGTTCCTTGACCACGAGCGACGATCGAAGAGCACGAAGGAACCAAAGCGTGCTCCGCGTATTCTTCAGCGACGCGGGCAGGGCGGCGGGCTACGTTTTCGTGCAGGGTACATTCTGCCAAGGGGTGGCAGAGAGCCGGTGGTGGCAGCACATGGGGTGCGAGGTGGGGGTCGCTGAAAGGCTTAAAAGGCCTTCGAACGTCCTTGTAACACGCAGTTCTGAAATAGCACGTAGGAGTATCACGTGTGCGAAAGGAAAAGAAGTTGCGAGAAAGTGCGGCCGAGAAACGATTCGATAATTCTTGCGATATATTCGGTGTCCATCGATTCCAGTACAAAAAAATACGGCCGATCCGACGAATAAGTCGAACGATAGTGTTTGCCGGAGCCGGTTCGAGGAAGATCCTGTGCGCCTCGATCTCTCGATCGAGTAGGGGTTGGAACAAGGCGGTGGAGAAGGGAGCCCAGTGTTTCCGGTTTCGCTCTTTCGGAGTTCCGCGTTTTCGGTAGCTCAGTGTACCAGTGAAACAGATATATATCTCAGTGACGATTCCATCGCGACGCCTCCGCGAGAAAGCTATCGAGAAATGAAGAAGGGAAGATTCTGCATCGTACTCGCGCCGTTCATTTTGTTGCTGTTCTTCGTGTCGCCGTCCGCCACTTACGCTCTGACGACCTTCGGCAAGACCAACCCTCAGAACCAAAATCAAAATCCGCCGCCGCCGCCAACGCCAGGTTCGTTTCGACGCTCGTTCGTGCGCGTTATTAACGCTAGAAAGAGAGTGAAACTTGGTATATACCTGTATTGCCCAAGAGCAGTCAAAAATGACTGCATTGTGAAAGAATAAGTAATGTGTAAAGAAATTTGTTTAAAATTAATTTTTAATATTTTTTTATATTATTTACAGTTGTGTAATGGGTTGTTAGTAAATATTAACAATAAGAAAAATTTAAGATACGAATAATAGAACTTAGTATATACCTATATTGCCCAAAAGCAGTAAGAAATGACTGCATTGTGAAAGAATAAGTAATGTGTAAAGAAATTTGTTTAAAATTAATTTTTAATATTTTTTTATATTACTTACAGTTATATAAGAGGTTGTTAGTAAATATTAACAATAAAAAGAATTTAAGATACGAGTAACAAGTACTACTTTAGCTTATTGAGCAACTGCAACTTATTTAGTATACGCCCAAATCGACAATTTATCGTGTACTTGTATGTTATCATGTAACGGTGATCGAAGAAAATGGAAAATGTTATTGCAATAGAGACGAACTGGTCATATAAGAAATTCACTCAATTCAATAATAAGTCATTTGAATATTTTAAATTTCCCAAGCAGTCAAAACGACTGCTTTTGGGCAATATAGGCATAACATATATATATTGCCTATATTGCCCAAAAGCTGCTTGGGATTTTAAAATTTTGACTGCTTGGGAAGTTTAAAATAATCAAATGACTCTTATTATTGAATATGATATTATATAACCGGAAATGAAGGGGGGGGGGGTAACTACAATTATTAATAAACGCATTTATACGTTGTGCAAAAAGTCACAAAATTCTAGGACATTGTGTCATTATATTCATAATTTTTTTTCTAATTGAAATTAAAAAGCAGTCAAAAAAAATGACTTCCTTGGGCAATCTAGTGTTAACTCTTCGGCTGCTGTAGATTGTTTTATAAGTCTTTAAACTCCGTAACAAGTTGCCCCGATAATGTAATCTAGCTTCTTGGGGGTAGTTAATTCGAGGGAGACGATTTTTGAGCTGAACCGGTAATTGGGGATGTTATTGGTCGGAATCGTAGCAGATCAATGTAGATTTGTTTAATCAATTTTTCAATGGCAATTGACATCCTTGGCGATGTAATTCGATGATTTCTTTGTAAGTAATAAATGTAATTTTATGCGTTTATGAGAGAAACGAATAAGTGAACGGTAAAAATAACGCGGACGTTGCAAATAGGAGGACGTTGCTAATATTCGTGAAGTTGTTTCGCTTCTCGAGAAAATTTCATTTCGTTGGGGGCGTTGAAAAAGCGCTCGACTCGGTATTTTTTAGCAATAAAAACCAGGACTTCGAGCACAAGATTTCAAAACTATCAAAAACAAATTAACAAGAAGTTTGCTCTTTGTTTTACTGTAAACGTTGAAGAAAAGCGGTTTTCATTTTCTCGCGTAAGAAGGAAACAACTTTCTCGACGAATAAATATAATAAACAATAAACGATAAATCGTACCAATAAGATTCCCAAATTATAGTTTCGCTTTTCGAAGTAACATTCAACGAAGCTAAATGCATAAAAAAAAAATACGAAATCGTTCGCAATTGTAAAACGTAAAATACCACCGCCACGGAAATATAATACTTCTCATCTAAGGTATAATAAAAGCGGGACAAAAAAGTCGCAGTTCCAGTTTCGCGGGGGCATTGTAATGGAGAAAGTTTCCTTGTAAAAAGTCGCGTCGTAACCAATTTGAATTGTGAAACGTGAATTGTTTAAACTCTGTAGAATCAACTTCGGTGTAGCTTAGAAGAGACTGAGTCCAATGGCGTGGGAGCAGG